TTTTTTAATGAATAAATAATTTCAAAGCTCGCATATGTCAAACAAAACACGTCGACCAGAGTCCATTAATGGAAGATCATACGTTCAAGGTGAGCAAATTTTCACAAACAAAATGATCAAATATTGAAAACACAGTGACAACAGTGCATTCATTAGTGACATTGTATTAACAATAAATAAAACCTCAATGGTTTCTCTTAAAAACTGAACTTTTGCAGACACAGGCCCGCCCGTTAGTGTAAGATAAATAAAGCACATTTGTGCATCATCATGTCAGATAGGAAGAAAATGAGTAACTAGCGATACCAAGGTTCGAACGTGACACTCTGGACTTATGAATATATGTTTTCAGCCAGGTGTATAAATAGCGGTGTCAGGCTACTGACTGCGTTGATTATTGAAAGACTATTGAATGGTTCAAACTGAACCCTTTATTCAATCTAAGGGGTTAGCTTGTTCTCGTTCCGCTGCCAACGTCCACGGATATCGTGTCTAGTTCTTATTTAGTACGGATCAGTTATTGCTCCAAGTACACACTGTCCAAGCGAGGGATTGAATTTACAATTACTGTGAGTCATATGGGAAGAAAATGATCAACACCGTGGTTCGAACATGACACTCTGGACTTATGAATATATGTTTTCCGCCAGGTGTATAAATAGCGGTGTCAGGCTACTGACTGCAGTGATTATTGAATGACTATTGAGTGGAACTATCCAGTCGAATTAGTTTGAATTATTGTGCATAAATGATTTTGATTTTGATTTAGGATTTACTGAACTTTAAGCCAAGCTATTAACAAGGTATTCACAGAAAGGGTTAATTATCTTTGGTTGACTTTTAATTCTTTGTTCTTTTTAAGTATTTATTTGCGGTTGTAATTAAATACTGTTTTAATTTAACATTGAAGTCTTGAGTTATACTTAATTATTAACGGACACCGTACGTCACAAGACAAATTGAACATTTGCAGACACAGGCCCGCTCGTTAGGGCATGATAAATAAATTGAATGATAATGAATTCAATTCAGTGAAGTTATCTTACCCTAATGAGCTGCTTTGTACTTGCGAAAATTCAATAAATAAACCTGTTATCTATCTATCTATCTATCTATCTATCTATCTATCTATCTATCTACACACACACACATATATATATATATATATTGAGTGTATGCGGCATTATTGAAACATATATTAAATATAACAATGAATGTCTATTATGTTTCATCATAAGCCGTTCTAAGCTTCGAATAGTGAGTTTAGTTTCGGAAGAAAATAAAGATAAAAACTGTTCAATATTTGGATATATTTTATCATTCTGTTCATTGATCTAACGTTTCGACTCACATGAGCCCTCATCAGAGTGGTTGTATGGGCATTACAACAGAGATGTTCAACATCGAAGATCACATAGAAGTTTTCTATGCGATAATAACGGTCGTGAAATAGCAGACGCGGGTCGTAAATTCGTGATGTGGTTCTATGACGTCGTACCACATGATATATATATATATATAAATATATATATATATAAAAACGTCTATTGTGTTTGATCATGAGTCATTCTAATCTCTGTATATTTGCTTTAATATATATATATAATTCGCGGGCGGTACTGTTTCGCTGTATCACAGCTCTTCAATGTGACTAGACATCCGAATGCCTCAACCCCGGATCGAAACCCAACCTATTTGGTGTCAGTCAGAGTTTCTACCATTGAGCTATCTACATTCGAGAGAATGAGGCAGCTAAATCAAGCGTATTGTTTTTATGAATGTAAACAAATGTCAATCAGCCGGAGTGCTCCATTCACTTTATTGAAGAGTATTGCATTAACGCAGCTGGCTGTTGTTTGTAGAATTAGCTTGTTATTCAACAGTGCTCAGTTAAACATATTTTTGTAGATACCCCATATTTGAGTAGATTCTCCGTTTATTTATTCAACAGTATATTAATTTAATTTCGTTTACCGATTCCGTGAATTTTTTTTAAAGAAAATATGCGATCTCAGGCAAAATACGAACCTTGGTTTCCCTTGGCAGTAGAAAACTTCATAAAATCCGACGTGCTTGACTCGGCGACGATGAACCGAATCCGATCGAATAATGTCTTATAAACGCAAATCTTTCTCCGCCTCTCGAAATATTCACATCTACTCAGTGTCATTTCCTCATGTAAACAAAACAATTTCGAAAGAAGGGATGTTTTTATTTATTTATTAATCCCATAGAATTGTGTTACTTAAACGTTATTTTTAGTGGAACCCCATATTTGAGTAGATTAATTTATTAAACAGTATATTTATTTATTTTCGTCTACCGGACTTAATATTCTTAAAAGAGTGCTCAATACAGAGTAGAGCAGATATAAATATTTATTTAAAAATTATAACACAAAAATGTTATAATTTTTAAATAAATAATTATATATATCTATATATATATCTATATCTATCTATCTATCTATCCATATATATATATATATATATATATATATATATATATATATAATGTGTACATGGAGAAAGGATAGAAAGGGATAAGAATGTAAGAGGGGAGGTGAGAAGGAGAGCGTCTCTCTCTCTTTCTTTTTCTCCCTTTCTCTCTCCCTTTTCTCTCTCTCTCTCTCTCTCTATATATATATATATATATATATATATATATATATTCAAACATATAAAAAAAAATATCTAAACGTTGGACTGTTTTTGTCTTTATTTTCTCCCGAAACTAAAGCCACTATATGACGTTTAGAACGGCTCATATTCAAACATAACAGATATCCAGATATCCGTTGTCTGTTATATTTAACAATATAGGTTTGAATAATTATCAGCTGCACTAATACACTATATATATATATATATATATATATATATATATATATATATATATATATATATATATAGAAAAGTTGCAAATTAAAAAAATAATAATGTTTTATTTTATGAAAGTATTTATTTATTTATATATATGTTAGATATTTCAGATTCAATCATTTTATGCCGCGACTTTCACTGAGACAAAGTTTCGTTTCCATTGAGATTTTTGCTGTGTTTTCTCGTTCGAATTTCCACTTAAATTCATCTCAACTCTCCTTGTCTTTCTTTTCGTATCGGATTAAATTCTCTGGGAATAGAAAAAAGAAGAAAGACTCACGCCCTGTTCACTCCAAAATACACTTCTCTACGCAGTTGTATATAATAGCGTAACGCATTATATTTACTATTTATAGACGGGATTGGATGTCGGTCTGAACCAGTCGATTACAGGACGGTGTTTTTTTTTTCAGAGTATGACTCATATTCTGGTTCTATAACACACGCCACTGCTTGCATAGAAACAGTACACTCCTCGACTTATGCAGGAAACAATTATAGCCTCGTATTGCATTCATTACAATAACATCTATTAATTTTGAAATTAATGACAGAGATTTGAACCTAAAACATCTATTTAACATATTTGTTCTGGAATGATATCTATCTATCTATCTATCTATCTATCTATCTATCTATCTATCTAAATCTGTTCATATCTCTCTGATTCTGTTCATATCTATCTATCTATCTATCTATCTATTTATCTATCTATCTATCTATCTATCTATCAATCATTGCTTTAATCAAAGCCCTTAATCTCTTCTCAACTTAAGTCAATGATTTCTTCAGCTGACCTTGGCTCAAATTGTACCAGAACGCCATAAGATCTTCCTTCATGTTTGCAACACTTGAGTATGTGATGCGTGAAACATTACTCTTCATTAAGTGCCATATCTCGAAGTCCATTTGATTAATATCAGGAATTGATGTAACTTTTCAAAAACATCCACGGAAATTATTTTTCTATGACTCTCCCGGTAACAAGTGAATTGTTTCTTCCTGGAATTGAATTTGCTGAAGCTGTTTGCTCCTCTTGAAGTTTTTGCAGACATTAAAAATGGTTTTTCCGCAAACATTTATTTTTTTTATAATTTCACATTTCTTCATACCAGCCATTTTCAATTCGAAAATATATATCACGTTTTGCTTGAGTCGCCATATTTAAACCTACACACTTGTGCAAATTAATCGAAACAAAACGAATAATCCCGTTATTATTTACTTTTTTCCTTTTTTTCCAATGAAACATGACCCAGTACACATGTTAGTAATTCGTATGTCCATTCCACGAAGTATTCTTTGCAGATTGGCCACAGATTCTCGATTGGATTTAAAACAAGAGAGTTTCCGGGCAAGTCTATAGTACTTTGATTTACTCACTGGTAAGGCTGCCAATGTATTCGTGCAGCGTTACAATTTTTGTACGCTTCCTTGGAGTAACGTCCATCGTAGACAATGGCTGTAGGACAACTAATCAACAGTCGAGACAATAGTGTCTGGGCGTGATAAAAATCTGATGCAATCATGGATGTCGCAATATTTTTCAAGGCCAAACAAATTTCATCATAAACCCCGAAAATAGATTCATTTTACTGCACACCACTGCAAATGATCTAATCTGAGGAAAAATAGAAATCGGTTATATCCTGTCATTCCAGCTGGTCTAAAACTGACCGTATGGTGAAAGAAAGGAAACTAAAATTGGGCGTGTTTCTTGATTGATGTTCTAATACATGCAGAAATCAGAACTCTATAGGAGAAATCACCAGATCCATGAAACCCAGATCATAAATATATTAAAACTCAGAGACATAGCTGAGCCCATAAACATTTAGTTGGTTGGCTGTTTTGGTCGAGTGGCATATCAACTTCTATAGGTAATTTAATACAGAAATCTAAATATTTTGTACGCAGTTTTATTTTATTTATTTATCTTTGTTTTAGATAATAATAGTTTTAGTGATAAAAGTCTTACTAATTAACCCATAGCTAGGGGAGAACAGGCGGATTCATACCTTTCCCAAGGGTATATACGCCTTAAGTGAATATAACGAACCCAACTGGAATTGGAACTCGGTTCTCCGATTAACAATTCCGAGCTATGATGAATTAAAGCTTACAGCACCTGGTATTCCCAAACGATCACCCATCTAGGTACTGACCAGAAGAGACGTTGCTTAACTTCGATGATCGCAGGGAAACCGGCGTTTCAACGTGATACTCCAGTAAGACTCATAGATGTTTGTTCTTCCATTTTGTAGCTGTGTGCATACATGTGAATATAATGTTGTCTTTCTATGTAGATGCACATGCCAAATTCTTCCACATGTGTAACTCATTTCTTTTGAAAATGTTGACTTAATTATTTTTGAAAGGGTTGAAGGGTCCTCCCCTTTTTACACAAGTGGACTCACCCAGTATATACATATACTACTGCTACGTGAAGACCCGAGGGTCGAGAGCAACAGAGGGTGAAGGTAACAGATATAACGAACGTAGCCAGCAAGAGTCACAGTGAGTCATACAGCGATCCTTCAATACCAAAGACTGTATAGATATTTTGCTACTAACCCGTATTCCTGGAACTACTAACCTGCATTCCCAGTTTGTATTATTACGTTAATACATTATTTTCCTATATTCATTCTTGACGTTGTTATTCATTGGTACCGGATTTCATCCCGGTATCCACAACAGAAAGTTACCAACCTCTCTACATTACAATCTTTAACACCGTCTATTAGAAGAACTATACGCACTGTTTTGCTCACCAGTGTTTGTTTTGTTTTACGGCATATCAACCTCAACGGGTTATTTAATGCCGGCAATATTTTTTATTGCTGGTAATAATTTTTTTTTCCAAAAACGTATTGCTGGTAATAATTAAAAAAAATGTATTGCTGGTATTAAGACGTATTTTTATACTTTCATAGTGTTTTGAGCCCCTTTGGGGGGGGGTTAAGTATTTTCCCACAGATGGGATCCTGACACGTGCTACCAACACGGGTCAGGGTGGACCGTGGAATTAAGATGTGGTCCCATGCACCTCAAAACCTCCTGATCAGAGACTTCCTGTTGGATGTAGTTTATCGTCTTATCCAAGAGTCGAATGTAGTTTCACGTCTTACCCAGGATGCGGATGTAGTTTATCGTCACACACAGGACGCGGATGTAGTTTATCGTCTTACTCAGGACGCGGATGTAATTTATCGTCTTACCCAGGACGCGGTTGAAGCTTATCGTCATACACAGGACACCGGATGTAGTTTATCGTCTTACCAAGGACAATACGAATGTTGATGACGCTATTACACTGCTATTATCATATTGCATAGGATAATAGTCCAACCTGCTACGATAGAAAAAAAAAATGACATATTTCATGCCTAATAGATTTTTTGAAGTTACTCGTCGAAATGGCGCTCATGTAACCAAATAATTCATTATTTCAATAAATCTTATAGTATTGTTATGGTTTTCTGTTAAATATATAATCAAAGTATGCTTAATATGTATCATCCTTCATTTTCTCAAAAAATGTCTGGATATTTTCATTCAAAAACTCTGAGCTTGGCTCACCCCCAAACTGTCGAATTTGAAATAAAAAACAAAGGTCGTTACACAATAATGAAAACCTAACAATGGTGTTGCGAAATTGTACAAACCAGCTGGGGAATGTTTTATTAAAATCAATTCACAGAAAACTGAGAAATCCTAAATTCCACTACCAAGCTATTAGCGTCGTTAGAGGTGAATAATTAGCCATTTCCTTATAGGGAATATTCTGAGTAAATTGACTGAACACTAAGCGTTTTCGCTCATTCAAATTTAATTAAAAAATCTCTGAAAACAGTTTTTCAGGAAAATTACAATTCTCGGGTCCATTGTCATCGTTCTTTCTAGCATTGATGGAAGTTTCTTTCCAGTTTTTGTTTTTGTTTTTGGTAGAGTGGATATTTAACATATTAAGTAAATCATTTATATTCTAGTTACCTGTGTTATACATTTTTTGTTTTATTACACCTGTTGAAATTGTCCAGGTGACATATTTTTTTTTCTTATTTAAAACATTTGTCATTTTCTACTGCCAGTTTATAAGGTATGACGAAGGATCGCCATTTTAATAAACGTATAGGATTTCATTTGTTCCAAGCCATTTTTCGCCATTGTTTTGAGAAACTGTCATATACAGATTAGAGTCAAGGACATTTCCGAACAAATTGGATGCCATGGTCCACGATGCGATAGGTTAAAAAAGCGTGTTCAATGTTCTCCGCTAGGGCAGATTTCTTTCACCGGGCAAACCGAATCCTTAATTTTATACAACCACATGGCGCAACACACGCACACACGAACACACAGACACACGAACACGCACACATACACACACTACAACTATACAGATATAAATATCTGCTTTTCCTTTGTTCGTGTTATCTGGATACACGTTGTTGTAGCATACCTGCGGACGATAATGCTCCGTTCACATAAATACAGTAGTAAATACTGTATGTTGGTTTGCCGTTGAAGATTCATTGTGGAATTCACTTGACTCACTTCTAGCAGTTGATTACTTCTTCTACACGTCGATGGCGAATCTTATATGTGTTGTTCTTGTCCTAAGTATTATCGGTCATTACAAATCTTCGTGCGATTATTCTGTTCAGTAACCTTCCTGAGGTTACAGCAGTAGTTTTATAAGTACAGATTTCATTGATTGATGATTGGAAACAAGTCAGTGTATGGAATTTTTATACTTGAGGGTCTCGTGTTTAAAGTGTTTTTATTTTTTTTTTGCTTTTTTTTGCTTTATCGGACTTTTCATTTCTCTGGATTCCAATATCGCTCTGTATCTGGCATAGGATAATACATTAACTGTGTGTCGAGGATCTGCGTATCTGTGTGTTCTGCTTAGGATCAACTTATCTCTGTATTCAAATTCGGATCAGAGTAACTAGCTCTTCTGATTTGGATCAGCGTGCATTTTAGTTTTACCTAGGATCAGTATATGTGTATTTTCTTCCTAGGTCAGAATATCTGCGTGTTCTGAGTAAAACTGCGTGCTGCCAAGGATCAGATTAACTGTGCGTCCTGTCGAGGATCTGCGTACCTGCCTAGGCTCATGTTATCTCTGTATTCAATCTTGGATCAGAGTAACTATCTCTTCTGCTTAGGATCAGCGTGTCTGTGTGTTTTACGTAGGATCAGTATATGTGTATTTTCTTCCTAGGGTCAGAAATATCTGTGTGTTCTGAGTAAAACTGTCTTCTGCCTAGGATCAGATTAACTGTGTGTTCTGTCGAGGATCTGTGTATCAGTGTGTTCTGCCTAGGATCAACTTGTCACTGTATTCAATCTCGGATCAGAGTAATTATATCTTCTGCTTAGGATCAGAGTGTCTTTGAGTTTTACCTAGGATCGGTGTATGTGTATTTTCTTCCTACGGTCGGATTATCTGTGTGTTCTGAGTAAAACTGTGTACTGCCTAGGATCAAAGTAACTGTGTGACCTGCCTGAGATCAACTTATCTCTGTATTCAATCTCGGATCAGAGTAACTATCTCTTCCTTTTAGGATCAGCGTGCATTTGAGTTTTACGTAGGATCGGTGTATTTGTATATTCATCCGAGGGTCGGAATATCTGTGTGTTCTGAGTAGAACTGTGTTCTGCCTAGGATCAGAATAACTGTGTGACCTGACTGGGATCAACTTATCTCTGTATTCAATCTCGGATCAGAGTAACTATCTCTTCCTTTTAGGATGAGCGTGCATTTGAGTTTTACGTAGAATCGGTGTATGTGTATATTCATCCGAGGGTCGGAATATCTGTGTGTTCTGAGTAGAAGTCTCATCTAAGCGTGTCTGTGAGTTCTGACAAGGACCACCGTATCAATGGGCCAGTGTAAATATTTTTTCTGCCTTTGACCGACGTGTCTCTGTGTTATGCCTCGGATTAGAATATCCGTGTCTTCTAATTATGGATCAGGACAAATATATCTTCTGTCTTCGATCATCGTATTTGTATCCTGAGTAGGATCAGCGTATCTGTGTGTTCTGTCGAGGATCAGATCTGTGTTTTCTATATATGGATTAAGGTAAGCACGTTTCGTGCCTAGGGTTAGCTTATCTGAGTTCTACCTCGGCCTAGCGTAAATGCCCCTTCTTAGAGACGAAGATGTCTAAGATCAGCGTAAAAAATGCATTCTGCCTAAGATCAGAGAAACTGTTCTATGTATGGGTCTAAGTAAAAGTGTGTTATGCCGAGGATCAGCGTATCTATGTGTTCTATGTATGGATCTGAGTAAATATGTGTTCTGGCTAGGATCGGTGCTTCTGTGAGTTCTTACTAGGATCAGCGTATCTTTGTGTTCGATGTATGGGACCGAGTAAAACTATGTTCTGTCTCGGATTAGAGTAGGTGTTCTTTTTATGGATCTGAGTAAATATGTGTTCTGATTAGGATCAGCGTATCTATGTGTTCTGCCTAGGATCGGGGTGTCTGTGTGTTCTCACTAGGATCAGTGTATTCTATGATTGGATATGAGTAAATAAGCTTTCTGCCTAGGATATGAGCAAGTGTGTTCTGCCGAGGATCACAAAATATCTTGACGACCGTCTGCCAAGAATTAATGATAAATGTAATGTTATCTGTCTATATTACTGAGATGAGGTATTATGTACACGATTTACATTATTCGAACTATTGTCCTCATCTTTGTTGCCATATTTATTACAACGTTTCGGCCCTTCAGTATCTGTCTATATTTCTGAGATGAGGTATTATGTACACTATTTACATCATTCGGACTATTGACCTCATCTTTGTCGCCATATTTATCACAATGTTTCGGCCGTTGTTCGCTCCGGTCTTATTCAGGTGGTTGGAATGTCGAACTGAACCCTTTATTTCATTCACTGCGGTAGACTGTTCTAGTTCCACGTGCCATGTTTAATGGATAGACAAAGAACATCATTGGAAAATTCGTAAACTTAAGGAATCAGCACATATGCTTGGTCACAAAAATCTCCTGAGCCGACCAAGCGTAGAAATGAATACAATATGGGAACCAGTAATAAGGAGTGACAGAGAAAATCGACAATAACCAACAAAAATTGCAATATGAGCTCCGGTAAAAGTTGTTGGGCTGAAGTCAATAGCTTTTATAATAGAAATTCATACGCAGATGTCCTCACATGGCACAGAAGATAAAGGCG